TCAGAGTGTATGTATGTCAGCTTTCCTGGTGTCTATGAGTGCTCTCACCCAAAGAGTGTCTATTCCTCCAGCTACACTGTGCCAGGTGACTGAGAGAGGCAGCAATGAGCTCCTCAGTTTAGTGTAGATGCCGTACTGAAAAATATGCTGGTAGGTGTGATCATATGGAAGAGAAACACTGTAAATAGGCAGAGAGAAGCCTCGGTTCAGGAATTTTACAGTATAGACAGAAGCCAAATATCAAAAACATTTACCTCGTAGTTTTGAACTGTAAAAATATCACATGTCTCAAAGGTTACTCTTGTCTTTACCTCTGGCCTCTGGTGTCCTTGCTTCTTCAACATTGATTTAAAAATAATCTAAAATAGCGAAGCATGTTACACATCCTCCAAAACAGTAAATCATACATTTTAAAAATTCTGTGGCGGTAGTGACCAATCACATCACAATATGGAAACTGCCACTTCTGGCATAATGGCTTTAACTGAATGTAAGCTAAAGAAAATATAGACCAAAAAGCAAGATGACAATTCATAAATTCTCTTTTAATTTTTCTTCTTTAAGATAGTTTTGAAGGCCGTTACCAGGTAGGATAGAAAACTCAGTGCTGTACGGGGCAGATAATCATTTCTGCGGCTATATATTTTTAATAAATAGTCAGTGTCTAGAGGCCAAACCTTTTGTCCTCCACCAGTATGCTTCCATTCTGAAGGACAGTCCTGACTTTATTGATGATGATCTCGACTTGTACCACCAAGCCACTGTTCCCTCGGCGTATAGAGACGTCGCATTCAACTCGGTTGTGGGTGAATCGAGTGAGGGTGAAGGGACAGTTGGAATGCACATAGAATCCTGAACCTTGGAAAGGCTGGACGACTCCACTGCCGAATGTCCTGCAAGTGTCTGATCACAAGAAAGTTCTGAAAGTGAGTGAATTATAAAATAACTAAAATTTTAAAAAGTGAGTTATAATATTTTAGTATATCAAAATTATTTGTTATATTGTTAAATTATTGTTAAATTATTTGTTATTTGTTAAATTATAATTTCTTGTAGTTCTTGCAAAGTTTTCACTTTCACGTGAAATACCATCAAAGTATAGTAAACAAATGTTGCATACTCACATTTTTGACTTTCACTTGTTGCCATAGATTCACCTGTGCCAAAAGCTAAGATGAAAAAGGAGAGTTAAAGCAGATATGAACGTAAAAATAACACGAACACTTGGGAGATATTTTTTACCTGAACAAAAAAAGCAGAGAGTGAGCATCCATCGCTTTGAGCTCATGATCCCTGACGCTCCCTTGCAACAGCTGTAGCCAGGAAGAAGTCGAAAAATAGCCAACAGACAGCTTATATAGTCTGTGTCAGTACTAACATGTTGCTTGAATGACCACATACATAATGCCATCACTTTAGGGCACATTGCACTGAAGTGCACTCATTTCCTGGAGATCTAATCCTTACCCCAAAGCTTAATGCGAACCTAATCTTACCCTATCTATTAAACCTGTCTTCACCTTAAAG